CGAGATGACTTCTCGTACAGTGTGGTTTGGCCAGCAGAGAGAACCAAGGACTTGGACTATAGACTGACGACTGAATGAGGCTGTATTGCCAAAACAGCACAATCCCAAGCGAGAGGTCTGAGCGCAGCAGGCCTCCTGGAAGTCAAGGCCCCCTTCCTCCTGCTCGGAGCCAAGACATCCCTCCCGGCCACAGCAGCCCTGGCTCGGCTCCCCGGGCGAGCGGGCTGCGGGCGGCGCAGACGCACTGCTTCCGCCTTCCCACCAATCTCGACCCTCGACGCGTTCCGTTCGTGCGCGGACGAGTCGGGACGGGAGGGGAGGCCGCTCGCTGGGCAGGGGCTGCGGCGCGCCGAGTGGGGGCCGGCGCCGCACGGATGGCGGACTCGCAGCTGTTCTGCGTGGCGGAGGAGCGCAGCGGCCACTGCGCCGTGGTGGACGGAAACTTCCTCTACGTGTGGGGGGGCTACGTGGTAAGGGGAAGAGGCGGGACGGGGCGGACTCGCGCCGGGAGCCCGCCGGCCCCTCGGCCCGAGCGGACGCGGAGCGCCCGCCCACACCCGCTCCTGAGGCCGCGGCCCGGGCCCGCCGCGAGCGCGCAACCTACCCCGCCCGCTGCCTCCGCCCGGGAGGGGGAGGGCGAGGCGAGGGGCGAGTGACAGCGGCGGCCGGCCAATGGGAAGGCCGCAGGGCCGAGGGGGCGGCGTGCGGCCGCGCCGTTAGGGTTGGTTGCACGGTGCGATCCCCGGGGAGAGGTCTGGAGGGCGGTGTTGCTGCGTCTTTGCATTGCGGAGCGCGGGCGGGGCGGCGGGCTGTGCAGGCGCGGGCTCGGCGGCGGCGGCGGGGACCCTCCCGGGGACCGCTCCCCCGGGATCTCCCCCACCCATTCGCCTTATTTGGCGGGGAGGAGGCGCCGTAGGGATGTTTGTCGCCGCTGGGTTTGGGGGGGCGGGCTCCAACTTAGCACATATTATTTACATGAGGGAGACACCGATCCGATCGCCTCCAGGATACTTGGTCCGGGTCCCGAACCTAAGCGTCCGTTCAGAGCTGCAAATGCAGAGAGGAAGGGGTATTCCCCTGCCCCATACCCCCCTTCCCTGCTTTAAAGCACATTTCTCAATGAGTCTTTACTTAGCTTTGTGCTCGGAAATTGTAGTCTTTCCTATTAAAATACGATAGCATATGTGAGAGTTCCTTGCAAACTGTGAAGCGGCTTTTAAAGAAGGGGTATTAATGGCAGGTTGATACCCACAGAAGAGTAGAAAAGGGGAGCTGTCTCTTTTCCCATAAACCTCAGCCAAACCTGGCCGAGTATTCTGGAGGCAGGAGAGAGCAAATGTTGGGGTCACCAGGATACGAGGGTAGTAGTAATGACAACCCCGTTGGAGTGCCTGTTGTGTGCCTGCTGCGCTTACAATGGATTTCGCTCATCCAGCAAACGGTGGTTCCCACGATGTGGCCCGCAAACCAGCAGCGTCAGCATCACCTGGAAACGCGAGAGAAACGCGAATTCTTGGGCACCAGCCAGACCCACAGGACCAGAAGTAGTGGGCCAAGAAATCTGCGTTTTGACCAGCCCTCCAGGTAACCCTCACACGTGCTCAGGTTTGAGAACCGTTGGCACAGACGGCGGTGACGGGGCCACGCAGCCCATGAGTCACAGTGACGCTCTCTAAAGGATTTTGCAGTTTACCAATCTCTTTCACACCCGTCACGCCATTCTAGCCTCGCCGCAGTCCCGCTAGTCTGCGCGTTTCCTGACTCCCTGTGCTTCCTTCTTCCCGTTCCAACCACTCATTTTACTGTGTATCCTGGAAGAGGCTAATTTGTTAAGAATTTACTTCAGTGAAGCAGCGACTTTCTAAACTAGGCAGCTCCGTTTTTAGAAGATAGGAATTTAGGAAGGGCTGGGAATGTAGAACCACCCCCCACATCCACTACACATCCAGTATCGGGCACAATGTGGAAACGCAAAGCTATAAGCCTTTATTTAGTATTTTCAATGGTGAGGGGATGGCGGAATGCCAGTGTAGACCGTGGGCAGAACTAGACAGAACCAGTGGGGGCAGATTCCCAGGGTGCAAGATGCAAGGCAGAGGACTATACTGCCCCCGGCCTGACTTGGCCCCAAAAGGTGCAGGCCCCCCCCCCCAAAGACCCTGGGCAGGTCTAGGGTGGCACGTGGCCGCCAGCAAATGATGAACACACCTTAACAGGTTGACATGTTCATGACCTGACTCTAAGCTGAAGAAAGTGGAGAGATTCGGTGTCAACCTTTAGGAAAGCAGAGAGCGTTATAATTTTGAATTATGTCTAAATTGGAGTTAAGTTTTATTTTTATATTATCTTATACATAGCAGCTTGATGGCCAAACTTCCTGCTGCGGCCATATCTAGCAAGGTGTGATATAGGTCAACAAAAAAGTCTGTCTGTGGTGTGCTTTGTAAAATCAGCTAATACTTCACTGGGTATTGTGTCATAAATATGCTGCTGCCAAAGAAGTTTGGGTGGGAAGTCAATACAGTGTAGAGGGAAGAATACTGGTTATGGTGTCAGAAAATACATATAAGAATTCCGAGTCTGCTACTTCCTGCAATTTCTCAGGCAACCGACTGCCTTAACCTCTTCCACCCTTGGTTCTCTCATCTATAAGTAGGGGCCAATAATATCTATGCTCACATGGTCATTGTGAGGATGAAAGTAGATAATGCATGTGAAAATGTTTAATCCATGTGCTCGGTAAAAAACAATTAACTTGTCCAAGCCCCCTGTATGCCATATGAGAAAGGCAGAATTATCCCACTAAGCTTACTGCTTTTTGTGAACAGAAATCCCAGTTCCATTAATGAAAGAGAGCACTCCTGCTAGTATCAAATTGCTGAACTAGGAAGTATATAAACAAGGAGGATTAAGTGCAGGATTATGGAATCCTGCTCCCTTGTCAACACCCAGTTCATTTAGTTTGATAAATTGATGAAGCTTTCATTATAGAGGATAAAGAGCCAAGATCAACAAAGTGTAGAGTAGGGTTTTTGTTTTGTTTTGTTTCTTTTTGTAAAAGCAATTAGTTCTGAGAAGTAAAAAGGCTTCTCTTTTTGCCAATAGGAAGAGGTTTGTAGATTATTCAAAAAAATTCTGTTTCCTACTGTGTAGGAATACTTAAAAAAATTTAAACATCAAATGGATAAGTAGTTGTCAGAGAGCTATTTTAAGATTAATATACTGAGTAGTGTGCTTAGAGGTAGGTAAAGTAGTGTGCTTTTAGTAGGTAAAAGTACTCTCTAGAGGGACTAGATATAATAATTTTGATCACTGTATTTTAATACCAATATCATTAAAAATATTCCTTTGTTAATGTAATTCTTTTCCCTTTTTGTTAGAGATTACCCCTTCCACTCAATGTGCTCCTTAAAAGAAATTGAGTTCTGTTGCATTTGGAGGAGCAAACTATGCAAATAATCCTTAGGAGATTGGCTGGATCATTGATGATGTCACAATCCCACCACCTAAATACAGTCTTTTTATTGGCTATTGTAAGAGGCAGGGAGGACCAGGAAGGCTCTGCATCGCCCCTGAGTCCTGAGACTAAACTAAATTTTATCCTGTTTTTCGCTTTAAATGTACTCAGAAGCATTTTCCACGTTATTACATTTTCCCATATGATTCCCTGTCTATGTAAACATTTTAAATGACTGCTTAACATTCTATCAAGTGAATATATCATGGTTTAACCACTATCCTTCTTATTCTGAAGCAGTTGTCTCAATTTTTTGCCTTTAGAAATAAAGCTGTAATTATGATATGTATGCAGTAATTGTATACATTATTTCCTTCAAAGCATGGAAGCTCTGATACTAAACTGGCAATGCTTTAAAGCAGGGGTCCCCAACCTATGGGGAGTAGTATAATTATTTCATTATATATTGCAATGTAATAATAACAGAAATAAAGTGCACAATAAATGCAATGCCCGTGAATCATCTCGAAACCATTCTCCCCACGGCCCCCAGCCCGTGGAAAAATTGTCTTCCATGAAAACTGTCTTCCATTGCCAAAAAGGTTGGGTCCTGCTGCCTTAAAGGAGTAAGCAAACCCCAAATGTGATCGTCCCTCTCACAGTGTCCCTAACGCCTACCCAGGAGAGCCCAGTGTCTGTCTCTGTCCTGGGACTGGTGTGAGTCTCCTATCTGTACTGTGGAAAAGCTGGAAGCTCCCGCTTCTCCTGTCAGGTAGGATGCAGATTCTTTATTCTGGATGCTTCTCGCTCCACCACCAATGGGAGAAAGGTCACAGTAAGCATGGCCATGAACAGAGGCGGTCTGTGAGGGATAAACTTAAACCCTGATTGTGCTGCTCTGTGTGAAAGCCTGGGACTGGTAAAATGGCTGCTTTGTGCCCTGTGCCATCTCTATAGGGAATCCATACAAACTTCTGGACAATCCGTTGCTTAAAGCTGAACATTCTGGACCTTAAAAAGGAAGAGAAGATATCAGCTTTGCTTGGAGGGAATCAGCTGTTTATTATTATTTTACATCTAAAGATAACTGTCTATGGAAGTTCTATCTGTTACTCTATGTGGTACTTTTAGATGTAATAGCAAGCGCAAGCGTCTACCATTTAAAGAGAACCACAGGTGTTAGACATTTTTTTGCTAGGGGCCTTGTGAATACTCTCTTACTTAATTCCCACAACAACCCTACTAAGTACATGTATTCCTACTTTACAAATGAGAAAATCGGCTCAGACAGGTCACACAGCACTCACAGAGGGCTGAAATCTGCACTCAGCTCTGACTCTAAGGCCTAAAATCCTAATAGCTCACCCTTTCGCAACTAATTTTAAATCACTCTACTGGCAAAGAATTTATCAATGAGTATTATCCTACAGGTCAATATATCTACGTTCGTTCAAATATATTTATGAAACACATATCATGTACAAAAGCTTTGCAAGATACTTGTGGAGGATATAGAACAATAAAAGACATTGGTCCCTGCCTTAAAGTCCAGTTGGGGAGATAAAACACAGATGAAATGTAAAATAACAATGCAAGATTGAAATGGTAACGTCCATCAACACTTCCAGGGGCAGATAATTAAGTACCAAGGTTCAGAGGAGAGAGAGAGACATCTCTTGAAGGGATCAAGGTGACTTCCAAGGAAGGGATGTTTACACACATTCATCCACATTGAGTGGTAAAAGGATAAAATGGTAGCTTTAGGATGATTCTAATTCCTTTCAGTAGTTAAGAACTACATAATCATCTTGAAAATAGAATCATTCAGTATTTGGATCTCATTAATTTTGCATCTGCATGCTATAGAGTTTTATGACATATTGATAATGGAAAAAAATACCCTCTTTTTATTCTCTGAGCTTGTAGGACAGTGTTTCTGAAAGTATGGGTCATGGACTACCAGTAACATAGTCTCATAGACCTTGAAATGTAGTATATGCAGATTCCCAGGCTTCATTCCAAACTGATAGAAATAGAATTTCTAGGGATGGAGCCTAAAAATCTGCTCTTTGGACAAGTATCCTAAGTGATGTGCATATGAGAACCACTGATGTAGGGGAAAACTTGGTTGACAACATTCATTGATAGATTTATGAATTAGTTAAGCACTTATTACATGCCTGGCACATACTCCCATTTAGTCCGTAAAACAAACTTTGTACGTGAGTATTGTAACTTCTGTTTTACAGATAATGACTCTGAGGCTCAAAGAGGATTTAGACACTTGCCCCGGATAACCTGGCTAGAAAGAGATAGCCAAACCAAGAAAACTGCTTACTTTCAATGTCCGTATTTTTTCCACAATGCCTACTGCCCTGTTGCCTAGACTACTCTATGGATACCATGTTTATTAATAATAATAATAGCTATCATTTGAGTTCCTATTAATGTGCTATAAGACTACACTATGGATACCATGCTTATTAATACTAATAACAGGGGGATGGTCATGATGGAGACTCAGACTTTTAGGGGGAGGGGGGGAAATGGGCATTTATTGAAACCTTAAAATCTGTACCCCCATAATATACCAAAATAAAAAAAATAATTTATAAAAAAAAAAAAAAAAAAAAATACTAATAACAGCTGTCATTTGAGTTCCTATTAATGTACTATGTAATTTAGATCCAAACCTTTCCATAACCTCAAGTGGTATTCTTGCAATATGACATAACTAAGATGGAGAGATATTTGATATATAACCTCGAAATCACCTTCCAAGAATAGGAACCAAGATTTCTTACTCTAGTACCTCTTTCCTCACTTTCACTTCTTCCTGATAGTTCCTGAAACCTTTTTCAGATCTCTCAGGACTTCCTTTCCTTGGTGTAATTTATGCAACCCTTTTGCATCAAGCTTGCAGTGGCAAACTATGAGCTAAAGTCTAGTTTTGGTGTCTAACAGGCACCACACTTTTTTTCCAACACAGGAATGGAGATCCACTCTGAATCAACAGGAAAATGTCAGTTGCTTGAAAAACCTTCTGCTGATCTTGTGACTTCAAAGAGAAAAAGACAATTTAATCAAGGAAGCCTCTCGTGAGCAGAGGAATCACACCATCCCATGTGAGATCTTATTATAGAATAGGCATATGTCATATATCTTTTTCAAGGAGTCTCATATGGCCCTGGGGCATACCCAAGCAGATATAAAGACAAAGGGCTGTTTTCATTAGTGGATTCATTCAGGGTTGCCTTATATTAATATCACTCACAGGGTGCTGGTGAAAGAAGATAGTACTCTCTTTCAAGATGCAATGACATAGCACAAGTCTATCAGAGGGCAGTTTAGTAATATATAGCTAGAGACATATAGATATGTAATACCCTCCTGGGAATCCGTCTCTAGAAAATAATTCAAAATAATTCTATCCCTATAAAACAGGGATAGAAATATCCATGGTTGCTGTAAGAATTAAAGACGATATAAACTATATGGATAAAATTTGGATAAATAATGGATAAAGATGGGAAAGAAAGGCTGGGCAGAGTGGCTCAGACTTGTAATCTCAGCAGTTTGGGAGGCTGAGGTGGGAGGATTGTTTGAGGCCAGGAGTTCAAGATCAGCCTGGGTAACATAGAGACCCCCATCTCTATAAAAAATAAAAAAATTAGCTGGATGTGGAAAAAAAAGAGATGGGAGGGAGTACTACTAAAAAATAAGCATAAGTTTGATTCTAGTATATGGAACTGTTGAAAATTTCATTTGAATGAATCTGTTTTTATGATGTTTTAAATTTTAATACTATATTTTTCTTCTTCTTCCACAGCCTTATACATTTTCATATTCCTTATGCAAGAATTGTGTTTGCCTATAATCTGGAAACTTGCCTAAATGGATCACTAAGCCCTGTGTTGAGAAGGGTCCCAGATCAGTGCTTTTGAAATTAGCTCTAGGAAAATGATAGGACCTCCCACTCACTCCCGCCACCCCCCACCCCATCCCCGCAACACAGACACAGGTGAAGGTGGCTCAGCTAAAGGGCCAGAGACTGTCTTCTAAGCACATAGTGATGTATGTGAAGTTTGTTAGGTGGGGGTCCCTCACCCCTCCGAAATTTGGGAATAGAGAATGTTCTCATGACCAGGATGCTTTTCATCCATCTTTGCTTCAGAATCCTAACCCTCACTTCCATCAAACCACCTCCCTGCGGAGCTAGATTGATGAGAAAGGAAGGCAGGCAGGGGAATAAAATCAAATATTTTCTTTCAGCTAATACATGTTGAGCACGCTCTTTGTGTCAGGCATGGGTTTGGCACATATGAATATAAACTAACGCAGTTGGAATATGTTTGAGAAATCAGGCCTCAATCTTCTAGAAAACCTCTGTGAAGGCCAGGCACAGTGGCTCACGCCTGTAATCCTAGCACTCTGGGAGGCCGAGGCGGGCGGATTGCTCGAGGTCAGGAGGTCGAGACCAGCCCGAGCAAGAGCGAGACACCGTCTCTACTAAAAATAGAAAGAAATTAATTGGCCAACTAAATATATATAGAAAACAATTGGCTGGGTATGGCGGCACATGCCTGTAGTCCCAGCTACTTGGGAGGCTGAGGCAGGAGGATCGCTTGACCCCAGGAGTTTGAAGTTGCTGTGAGCTAGGCTGACGCCACGGCACTCACTCTAGCCTGGGCAACAAAGCGAGACTCTGTCTCAAAAAACAACAACAACAAAAACAAACAAACAAATAAACAAAACAAAAAAAGGGTATTGGTAGGTTTCCATCTATCCTTGTTCATTCAGGATCAGACCAAAGATAAGAATATAACCTGTTGTAGGTGTAAATAATTTCACAACCCTGTGAGGTAGATATTATTAGTTCCCCTATACAGATGAAGTGAGAGAGGCTCCAAAAAGTTAAGTAATTGGCTTAAAACCATGAAATAAGTAGGCAGCACTGCCAGGACTGGAACTTAGGTCAGATAAAGTAAGGAGATAATAAAAAATGGGTTCCACTGAACTGTCAGGTAACATAGTGGAGAAAGGGTCACAACTATTTAGGCCTTGAAAAGCACTACCAATCTACTAATGTTACTGATGAAAAATGACTTAGCAAAACTATGTTCAGGGCTTCTGGAAAGTTTTGGGTCAGTTACTCTAAACAATTTCTGGAAATCCTTGTTCTTCGATTTGGCAGTAAAACAAAGATGATCTCTGTTTGGGGTTACATCAAATTCTCCTTAATTGATTGTTTTCCCTCCCCACGCACTGCATCCTAACAGCCAGGGATGCCACTGATGAAATATTCAGCATTGGAATGATATTTGATGTATAATTAAATAGGATGCATTTAGCAGTTCAATTTTATAGACCTTTAATCTTCAAGTTAATAAACCTTCATGTAGAGAATCTCAAAAACAAAATATTCTTCAAAATACTATCCTCCTTGGAAAAATACAGAAGACTGAATGTGAGTATTTACTACAGATGGAAAACATTTCTTATGTATGTCTGTGTGCCAGGTAAAGTGCTAAATACTTTCTACGTTATGTCATTTAATCTTCACAACCCTGTGAGGTAGGTATTATTAGTTCCCTTATACAGATGAAGTGAGAGAGGCTGCAAAATTTTAAGTAGTTTGCTTAAAATCATGAAATAAGTAAGCAGCACCACCAGGACTAGAACTTGGGTCAGATTCTCTCTGACTCCCTTGCTTTTCTCTTAATTTTTATGGGATTTCTATTTCAAAGTATTTTTCAATCACTGTGGCTCATTGAATCCTCCCAACAACCCATTACTGTCTTTTTTTTTTTTTTTTTTTTTGAGACAGAGTCTCGCTTTGTTGCCCAGGCTAGAGTGAGTGCCATGGCGTCAGCCTAGCTCACAGCAACCTCAAACTCCTGGGCTCAAGCAGTCCCCCTGCCTCAGCCTCCCAAGTAGCTGGGACTACAGGCATGCGCCACCATGCCCGGCTAATTTTTTCTATATATATTTTAGTTGTCCAATGAATTTATTTATAGTAGAGACGGGGTCTCGCTCTTGCTCAGGCTGGTTTTGAACTCCTGACCTTGAGCAATCCGCCCGCCTCGGCCTCCCAGAGTGCTAGGATTACAGGCGTGAGCCACCGCGTCGGCCTACTGTCATCTTAATGATGTTCTAGGAGGGAACAAAAGTAGATCTGTGTGTTCATCTTCATTAATTAACTCTCATTACTTTCAGGAAACACTTTCCTATACTACCTTAAACCCTGTCTTCTCACCATTCAAACCCTTATTTCCCCCATTTGTCCTTTGAATTAGATATTTGAAAAAATATATATTTTTATTGGTAGGTTATTATAATTTAATAAGGATTCACTGTCACATCCTTTAAGATTTTACATAGCAAAAAATGATTGCTTTCCTCAACAGATAAAAAATAGGAGTGAGATATACTTGCACAATTCAGAATGATGTATATAGAAAGTCAGTTCCTGTAGCATTACTTAGAATAAAAAAACACTACGAAAAATCTAAAGGTCTGCCAATAGAAGACTTGTTGAATAAAACATGCCAATCCATATGGCAGTTTATCACACAGTTAAAAAGAATGAGGAAGATCTTTATGTTTAGGTGCAGAAGTCTGCGAGGGTATAATAGAGTATGTATAGTATGCTATCATTTGTATTTAAAATACATATATCTATATATGCTTTCTGGGAGGGGAACTAGGTGACTGGGAGACAGGAACAGAAAAACTAAGGAAGACTTAGTTTTTCCTTGTATACCCTTTGCACCATTTGAATTTTATACCACATGCTTATATTACTTATTTTAAAAATGAATATAATTTAAAGTACTAATGAATAGTTTTTTAAAGGGTGGGCTCTGTGACCTCTACCGGAAATAACGACCTCTCCGATTACTTCTGCCTATCCAAATTTTGCCCTCCTTCCAGATAGATTCCTATTCTGGACAACTCCAGTTTGAGGGTTCTCTCATTTAATATCCTTTGCTAGAAAGTATTGTGTGTGGAAAATCATCACACATTGCTTTGTTACAGCTGTTCTATTTTTAAAATAGTATCAACCATCTTGCATTAAAATTCCCATTTTATATTTTCATTTCTATTTCACTGAGCCTTTGGGAGTTGCAACAGGGAATACAATCTTGCAAAAGAAGAATGGCCAATGGAGAATACGTGACTAAATAAAAGGGAGGGAGTAAATGGGCAAGAGCATAAAGCCCCTCTCTTACAGGCAGCCTTCACACACCTTTACCAAGTAGAGAGTCATCTGAATTAGTGACCCCTTTTTATAAGATGCTAAAAGCCCCTGGAAACGTAAAGCCTTCATATTTTACACTGAATTAATCTGAACAGAATGACATCACTTAGCTAAGATCACTTGCACTTAAAATGAGATGAGAGGTTGGGAGAAATAAGATTTTTAAAGCAGGACTCACAAAATTTTAGAGTCACAAGGCCTTAGAGATCAACTAGTCCAGGTGTGGTGGCTCACACCTGTAATCCTAGCACTTCGGGAGGCGGAGGTGGGAGGATTGCTTGAGGCCAGGAGTTGGAGACCAGCCTGAGCACAAAGAAGACCCCCATCTCTACAAAAAATAGAAAAATTAACCAGGCATGGTGGCGCACACCTGTAGTCCCAGCTACTTGGGAGGCTGAAGCAGAAGGATCGGAAGTTTGAGGTTGCAGTGAGCTATGATGATGCCACTGCACCTGGGCGACAGACTGAGACTCTGTCTCATAAATAAGTGAATGAATGAATAAACAAATACATGAAAATATTAAAAAGATCAACCAGTCCAAATCTTTATTTCATAAATGATGGAACAGGGTCCTGCCTGAGGTCACAAGCCAAGGCATTGGAGTCCAGACTCAAACTACAATCTCTTAAATTCAGTTAAGGAACTCACTGTCCAGCCCGTCAGAGAAGAGGTCTCCATCCGGGTAAAAGATGGGGTCTTTCCACAGCAAAAAAGACACAGGTGGAATTTGTGCCTGGCGAAGAGGGGAAAGAAAGCAGGACGTGTAAAAGAGGTGACATCAACTTTTGCCCCCTTTGTAATTATGTCCAAGGGTCTGTGACAGTCTGTGTCAATGGAAGGCTTGCATATTAGCAGAAGCCGAGTTAAGATAACCAGAAGTGGTTTGAAGGCTACAAACCTCAACTTCCCCTTACGCAGCCCGGTCTCCCTACTAAGAAACCAATTGCACTTCAGCTTATAGCTCATATCCACCCTTACACATCCCTCCTTTCCACATCTGGAGAGGGAAAGTCAGAAAAGGAGGATGCAATACAAACACGAGATATTTCCATATATCCAGGGCAGTTTCAGCCAATTCTCCATTATCTATCGTATCTGGAAAGTGAGAGAGCCATTTAGGGTAACCATGGAGATATTACTGTCCTCAGTCGTATTTCCTTCCTTTTCTCTATTAAAATCTTTGGCTCTGATTTCAGCCAGGCAACCCACTTCTGCTGGAGTCCAGATTCTGCGGTTCCTCCCTCTCCTCAGGGACACTCATGTGGAGACTAGGAACACATTTGTAAACGAGGAGAGCGTAGAACAGCACAGGAACAGGGGAGGGTTTCACCAAAGGCGGGCAGCCCCCATCCACAGCCTCCCCTCCTTCAGCCTTGGGGTTTTGGCGCTCGGCCCCAGCCCAGACTACAACTCCCAGGAGACCCCGCGGTGCCCGCGTCCTCCTGCGATCCTTCCCTCGCTCTCGCGGAGAGCGGGGAGAAAGGTTCCGCTGGCCGTGCACTGCGGGTTGGTTTGTTTGCTCCGGCAGTGAGGGAGGCTGGGAGCCAGGCCGGCTGCGGGCGGGGGCGTCGGGAGGCGGATTCCTCCTCCCTTGAGCACTGGGGGGCGGGGAGGAGGGAGGCCGGGCCAGCGGCCGGGGACCCAGCCGCGAAGGCAGTGTGGGCAGAAGAGATGGAGGGCGACGGGGTGCCGTGGGGGAGCGAGCCCGTCTCGGGCCCCGGCCCCGGCCCCGGCGGCGGCGGCGGCGGGATGGTGCGCGAGCTGTGCCGGGGGTTCGGCCGCTACCGCCGCTACCTGGGCCGGCTGAGGCAGAACCTGCGCGAAACCCAGAAGTTCTTCCGCGACATCAAGTGCTCCCACAACCACAGTTGTCCCTCCTCCCCTCCGGGCGGCGGCTGGGCCGAGCTCGGCCCTGCTGGCGATGTCGCCGAGACCGGGCTGCCGGCGGGTAAGGAGGGCAGCGCCGAGGGAGAGCGGGCAGGACACGCAACCTGGAGGGCGGGCTGCGCCCCTG